CCAGCCTTTCCACCGCTTCCAAGTGTCTCTTCGAAATTCTTTTTCTTTTTTTTCTCAAATCACCACGCGTTCGAGCCACGAGGCAAATAACTGCACGGCGATGCCTCTACGGATCTCGTAGCCAACGGACGAGTAAACGAGAATAACGAAGCGTCGGCACGTGCCATCGAGAAAATCCTAGATGAACCGTTATCGGTCGTAAATCCCGAGTCGCGGATCTCGCGGAGAGGCCTCCAAGCGAACGAATCCGTTAAACGAGTCACGATTTTTCCTCCGTTCTCTTTCTTCCGCTATGGAGCGCTTCGTTGTCGACCTCAGGGATCGTTGTCGAACGAGACGTCCGATTTCGCGTAAAACGCTCGAGCGCTAACGACGAACGCCCCCGTCCGACAAAGAACGCGACTTCGAGCAGCGTGTAATTCTCTATCTTCCCTCGGAACTTTGGAAAAAGTCGCGTCGCTTCTTCCTATCGTCGATTCGAACAAACGACCAGCTGCTACTGCGCGCGAAAAAGTAAAAGTCCATTCGACCACTTTGTTCGTAGCTTCGCGTTATTGCATTTACTTCTGCGTCATCGGACTTGTCGCGTAATCGCCTGAAACGCGTCTTGAATTTTGCGGTGCCGAGTGAATCCACGGAATGGCCAATTCGGAGAATACAAAGGTTAAAGGATCGTTAGTCAGCCGCTTCCGCAAACGGACAATCCAAATGACCGCTAACGAAGTAACGAGATCACGTACGCTTCTGGAACGAACGTGCAGACTCGACGAAACGACGAATTTTCGCGGGAATTTACTTGGACTCGTAGGTTGCCGTTACCGAATCGCGGCAATTTAACGCGATTTTCGACCGGAAACGAAACGTTTAAACTTTTCTCTCAATTTCGCTGGCTTACCTCGCTGGCTCATTTTCGCTTCTCCGAGCGCGAGAAGGCGCAAGAGCATCCGGGGCTTTTTCCCCGTCGGTGCTCCGTTTTCTCGACGTTCGACCTACGAGCCGATAACCGGCGGCGAGTCGCAGCATCGTCGTTAAACGCCCACTTTACTCGATCGTCTAATAAGTCGACTAACAGGATTTCTCGTGCGTCTAGCAGTGACGAAAGACGGAAATCGAGGTGTACGTAACCGTGGCTTTCTCGTCCATCGGCATCGGCCGCGGCTAATTTCCAGCGCGTTCCGTGGATTTCACGAAACGCGAGGAGGAGAAAACGACGCGGATAATTTGGAGGGCGGCTGGGCGTGTGTACGTACCTGGTAGCGTTAATGGTGAAAATGGTCTCTATGGAGCGACGATCGATCACGCCGCTAAGTAAATACTGAATGGCTATAAGGGCGAGGACAACGCAGACGATCGCTTTGTACAGGTGGGCACGATGCCACAGTGCCACGGCTGCGGCCACAGTCATCGCATGTGCGAGACACCATAACTCCCTCCTATCGCCGTTAGAAGAACGCCGTACTGGACGAGGCGTTCCCTGCTGGCTGCTCTTGCTCTTGCTCTTGCTCTTGCTCTTCCACGCGCCCTCCCGCTCGCCCACTTCCGCGACTTCGTTTCCTCCCTCGAGATCCAGAAGAACGTTCCAAGCTGTCTCCGTTCCCTCTCCTTCGAACCAGCCTTTGACTCGGAGAACGCGTGGAAACGGCCGGCGGAGCAGGACCAGAAAGAACAGGCCGCCCGGAGCTTCTCACTTCCGCTCGCCAAGCGCATTACCCTCCGGCAGCAGTGCTCTCAGCGTAACGACACCTTCGGTATCCTGGCAAATAGAAAAAACCAGTTCGCCTTGCGCAGTTCGTGTCTTTCCACCCTGTTTTCTCGCACCGTCCATACCGCGTGCTCTCGGGATCGCGAAATCTCCCGCCAAAGCGTCCACGCGTCCAGAAGACCTATTCCGCTCTCGTTCGTCGTCAGAAAATGGAGGAAACGGCAAATTTGAACTTGAAAGGAAGCAGCGTGGTATCTCCGCAATATCGCGTACCGGAGATACAAGTCGGAGGGTTACGCACGCGTTCAACGTAATAACAAATGTTCAACGAAGAGATTAGATAGAGCATCCGGTGTTCGAGAAATCAACCGTCTGAACGAAAGATCGCTTCCGAGAAGAACGGACGCGTAACTTTGGAAGATCGTCGGATCGGGCTATCTGGCGAGGCTGCCGAGAATCGCGAAAAAAAAGAAAAGAAAACGACCGGTGTGTTCGCGTGTGAAAACTCTGCTTCGCGGCGAAGCGGTAGCAGGTTTTAATTGGAATAATCAAACGCGCAACCGGATCGATGCGAGCCGTATCCTCTGTAAACTTTGCCCCTGACTTTGAATAGCGTTGTTTCAGGTGTAGTTTGCGCGAGCTGTGTTTGCGGAAGTTACGTAGTTACGGGGTAACAGCCTTTCGCGATTACTGTCGTTTTACAGCGTCTCGAGGGCAGACGGCAGAGTATGCGTGGGAGCGTTTGCGTGGCCACATCGCCTAACGCGTTACGCGATTACTTACGCGTACTTTCCCCGATCGCGCGACACGGAATAGAAAACGGAAAGAACGAGCGTAGATACGAGGGTAAACGTATTCCAGAGAAAAGTCACGGCCTGTCTTTGTCGAGGAAGAAGAAGATCGATAACAGTGCCGCGCAACTTTGCGAGCTTTAGATCGCGGGACTCGTTAAAATCTTGATAACCGTAGTAGAGGTTCGTGCGTACGGACACGTATAAATTTGCGTTACTCTGGTCGTTTAAATATTTACGCGTTGCCAACTAGAACTCTAAACACCCGTAACGTAACGTTCGCGAAGTTCGCGATACGAGGTCGATCTTACGACCCGCTCGCGAGAGCATTCCGCGCGGAAAATCGCTAAAGTTCCGCGTGTACGTGGACGCGTATCGTCGGTACGGAGCTGCAACGGTGAAAACGTCGAACGAATCGCGGTGCATGGTGCAATTTGCCATAAAACGTACAATTACGATAGTTACCGCGAGTCTGCGACATGGAGCCGGCGCGAAGTGAAGCAGAGTCGCGTCAAGTCCTCCGTTTGGTCGCGTGTCGAACAAATTAGATTAAATCGATCGTATTAACGCGAATGCTATCGGGATGCGTCGCGTTCAACGTTTCCGCGAGGTCGATTCGCGTCGCTTTGTATCGCGTTCTCGTAAATATCAAATTCCCCAGCGAGCGAAACAGTTTGCTTCGAGAACGGCGGAGGCATTCGCTTCGAGAATTATCGAATAAGAAGGAAAGAGGCTCGTGCTCGGTGTAAAAATCGCATCAGGCCTGGCGCGATCCAGGAAATTGCAAATGGCCTGGAAATGTCGGGACAAGAGCCATTTTCGCGAAAAGGCGACGGTAAGGTAACGATGTCCCGCGAGACCAGCTTCCCTGGGAGTTTTTGGCCATCGCGATACCTGGATCCTTCGATTCCGGATGCGACGCGAAGGAACTGTAACGAGCCAGAATGGCAGTTCGTGTCCCCGAGGTTCGCGAGATACCGTCGGAATCCGCTGGAGGAACACGAAGGGTGGTAGGTCAGGGAACCGTGTGGCATTATTCGCTGCGAAGGAACGCGAGCGTGCACGAAGGGGGTGACTTCTCGAAAAAAATATACGGAATTTTCTGCGACGCATCGCGTAATTTTCATCGCGTGGTCGCGTATCGATCCTCGGCATTGTACACGGATCGCGTTGCGCGGCTGGAATACTCCAAGAGGATATCGCCGTAGACTGTGCCCAAGAAGATACCGATCGATGAGGCGTTATCGCGCCGGCCCTTTGTAACCGTTGTGCCACCTGCGTTTCGAGCACGTGTTCGGCGAAAACGAGGAATCCTGTTAGGTGAAAAGGAAAAGAAGAAAAGCGCGTGCACCCGGAACACTAGCCGCGATGAATCGGCCAGGTCCGATGCGTAGAGATCCAGCCGGGGATAAAACGACCCTCGTGCATTTCCGTCGCCGTCTCCGTCCGTCTCTGCGACTTCCAATCGAAGCTATCTCGTGTGCGCGTGAAACGCGCGAAACGCGTCGCAATGCAGCAAATGCAGCAAATGCACCGCCGCTTTATCGCGGCAACCAGCTCGGAGCTCGATTTTCACCGAGAACGAACCTAAAATGGCATCTCGCGGAGAAGAAATTCAGTCAAGGTCTCTGGCAGCAGTCGTTTCGCGTCTCTTCCGTTTTACCGTCGAACGAACGTTCATAGCGGACGCGTTTACGCGGAAATTGGGAAACACGACCCTATACGTTAGATTTCGCGAAATCCTAGGCGCGCATCGATCCGAGATAAATTTTACCGAACAAATTCCTCGGCAAACACGGCAGAGTTATTCGTTAGATCTGCTATTCGCTAACCACGAAAATTCTTTTCGATCCAACCGCGATATCGTCGGACGAGTTAATTGCTTCCTCTTCGGAAGCTCTTGCATTCCGCGTCGACTAATCGGATACGCATTTATTCGAGTATACCTATTAAACATGGTCTGCGCATACCGATAACCATCGTATTCCTTTGCGAGTAGAGTTACGCTCCTCTGTACGTGTTTACGTACCGCTTTGAAATTTCCAACAAACAGCCGCGCTTCTCCAAATGCTCGGAAATGCTCGATTATTTTTATGAGAAAAAAGTATGGAACGAGGAGACGAGCAGAATTTTCGTCGACAAACTCGTTTCTTGGTTCGTTCGTGACCCAAATCGCGATTGGCAGAGTCTATCGAAGGAGTCGCGCCGTGTCAAACGATAACTAGAAACCGACCACGTTCTAAACTCGATAACTCGATAAACATTCGGGCGACGCAACGTTTCAAGGGTTTCCATCTTTGTCCCGAGCCTTCGTTCCGCGATAGATCTCGGTTGAAACATCCGCGAGCGTGTGCGTGCATGCGAGGATCAAAAGCGATTCGCAGACGCGTGCAGTGCGTGCATACGTCCCGTACGCTTTCATCGAGACCTAGACCCGGAGACGGAGGAGAGAAACGGTACCAAAGAGGTGGTAAGGTGCGTCCCGGTTGCGTCACGCGCGACCTTTATTTTCCATCGCTTTCCGCTTCGAACCACGCTCGCCTACGAGATCGTCCGCTCGGACGCGTTCCACGGGTTTCCAGATTCATCCGATTTCGTGATCGAAGTGAGAGGTAATTTTCGAAATCGAATGGAACAGCCGCGCGAATAACGGACGGTAGGATCTTTAACCTTTCGAGGGTTTACACCGTTTTCGTTTCTCCCGGAGAAGCTCGTTAGCATCTTTACGCGTATTTAAACGAGTTTCTGGTTGACGGTGGGTCGCGCCGGAGTCAGTCTCGCGCGTTCAGTCTCCGGATGAATAAATTACGGTTGTTTCTCCGAGATCACTGCGCTTTCTGTCATCCGGGTATTCCGGCTGTTTCCCATGGCCGTTAACTTTTTCTCTCCACCTTTTAACTCTTTAACGCGAGACACCGAGCCGCTCCTCCGGCCATGCTCCTCGTTTTCTTCGTTATACGTGCGCGTTTCCATACACCTTTCCGTTCCAGCGATCCTTTTCTCCCATTTACTCGGCACCCTTTGCCGCCCGGTCCTTTCTTCTCGCATCGCGATATCCGCTTTGCTCCGTTTGTCTTTCCAGGGAATTCTCTTCGAGGAATACCGCGAAATCGAGCGTACGGCTTTCGGCCTTTGCCGATATGATATTACGCGGTTATCGCGTCTGGTTCGAGGCTGGAATCGTTACGACGATCGATCGATCGTTGGTTCGCTTCGAGGCCGCGAAATTAATCGAACGGTCAACGGGTATAAAGAATCGGCCAGTCGTTATACTCGTACTTACGGCCTAATCCGGGTAACCGTATCGTCGGGGAGTATATTCGTAATTAACGAGCCGTGTTGCGGTTAGCGGGGTAGCACTCGCGATGGTTTGGCTTGTTATAGAAATCTGCACGAACCCTCTCCGTTTCTGCGAACGACCTCGCAACTTTCGCACGGTACGTATGCAAATTCGCGGAGCGATCTCTTTTCTTTTTTTTTTATCCGTCAAGCGATCGGCCGATCCGCCACTCTGTTTTCCCGATGAAAAGGAAAACGTCGCAGAGATGTAGGAGAACGATTAGAAACGTTGCAACGAATGGCTGGAAATGGCCTTTCGTATCTACGAAGTTACGATCGCGCGCTCTTTTCCTAGAGAATTATAATTGCACACCCGTGTTCCATCTAGGCTCTTTCCATTCTTCCTTTTTCTTTCACCGTGAATTCTTTGCCATGAATCATTCATGAGTTTATGTAAACAAGATACGTATCGGGAAAAGGACGAGGAAGGAAGAAATTTAAACGGTGGAAACACGCGCGCTTCCTCGTAAGCACGCATCGTCGTTCTGTCACCGCGCGATAAGCGCGCGGCGTACGCGCGAGTTAAAGGATACAAAGAACTCCTCGAAGGTAAATGGCAACGCGAGACCCGATAATCCTCGTTCGATCGGAGCAACTTTTGATCGTTTCAGCCGACCGCGAACGCGATTCGACCGATAGAGCTTGACACAAAAGGCGGAAACGCGCGTCGTTCGCTCGGCATATAATCTCGACGACAGAGAGATAGAGAGAGTGAGAGAGGGAGAGAGAGAGAGAGAGGCTATTTACTCGCTATTTAATTAAACTTCCCTTTAATTGCGAAAGCTTTTACCACCGGCATCGATAAACGCGCTATCGCGTAAGAAGAACGAAACGATGGACGGAAATACCGCTTCCGTACGCTTCCCCTATTCTCGTAACCTTGACTATTTACGATTGCCGATGTTAAACGGATTAAACTGC